TAAGACAGGACCAGAGAAGCATTCTAAGTCTTCTGAAGCGCAGGACTTCTGTCCAGTCATGCTGCATAAGACAGGACCAGAGAAGCATTCTAAGTTTTCTGAAGCACAGGATTTCTGTCCGGTCCTGCTGCATAAGACAGGACCAGAGAAGCATTCTAAGTTTTCTGAAGCACAGGACTTCTGTCCAGTCCTTCTGCACAAGGCAGGCACAGTCTCCGAAAGCTCTGCAGAAATCTCCCACCCCTCATTCTCTGGCTCTGAGCACCTCTTTTCTGCTTTCTCTCAACCCTGTTGTCCCTTCTCCAATGGCAACAGGCTGAGTACAGCCCTTCCCAGTGGTTTTGTCCCGTGAATAATTTTATTCTACAGTTTATATTTAACCAGTTTGTTTTACAACACCTCTTGACCCCCTCCAAAAAAGTAAGTGTACATTTTAGAGACCAAACTGAGTCCTTTCTGCTTTTACTCTCTGTGTTTGTAAGTGCTTGGATAATAAATCATTGAGTGAATTAAGCACTCCGGAGTCAAGAACGAAACCTCAAAGATTAGGATTTTTTTTTGGTTGTTTTTAGAGAGAGGGAAGGGAGAAGCAAAGGGAAGGGGCAGGGGAGGGGGAGGGGGAGGGCGGAACACAGAACGCCACTGGCAGCGCGGTTCTGCCCTCAGGGTTGCTGCTTGGGAAGGAGCACCAGGAGCACGCCCCTGCCGCCCTGCTGCCCACCTCTCCAGCCCCCGCCTCGGCCGGCAGCAGCGCCCACGCCAAGACAGGCAGCAAGGACAGCAGCACCCAGACCGACAGGGGTGCCCAACCGCTGTGGCCCAGCATGGCCTCCCTCCCCGGCCGTGGCAGACTGAGCACAACCCCTTCCCACAGCCCTCTCCTGAAACACCTAGCCGCCAAGGGGTCTGCAGAAAAGCCAGGTACGTGGCAGCGTCCCCACCAGGGCCCCCTGTGGCACAGGAGAAGGGGTCTGATGGGAGCTGAGCACGCTTCAGTCAGGCTCATGCCAACACCCTTAGGCTGTGTGTAGACGCTTGTAACTTGCCACGTGTGAAATGGGCACACTCCTCGCCTCCACCTTGGTGGGGTGTGTCAGGTTCACAGACATTGCCTTCAAGGTTCTGAATGCCAAGGGCTCACGTCTCCTGCTGGAGATGTGCCCGTTTCTAAGCAGGGCAAGGAGTATATGAAGGGCACAGGCAGCTCTAAGAGGTGGGGTGAGGCGCGCCGGTACAAAGCCCCAGCTTCATCAACACCATGGTTCTCGTTGTTGTGCTAGCACTGAGGCTTGAATTCGGCCTACACTCTTGCTGGACTTACTCCAATCAGGGATTGAACTCTACCACTTGAGCCATACCTCTAGTCCTGCCTTTTCTACTGGTTAATTGGAAGTTAGTCTTTTAGATTTCCCTGCCAGGGCTGGCTCCCACCTGTCATCTTTAGATCACAGCCTCTTGAGTAGCTAGAATTAAAGGTTCAAACCACCAGAGTCTGGCCTGATTGCTTTTATTTGCATTTGAGTCCTGTCACTCAGCTTTTCCTTTTCCCTGGTTATCCACGTAAACCCGTGGCCTTCCCTAGGTATATACCGTGATGAAGGACACTTCTGGGTGAAATGAAATCACATTAAAGGGTGCTGATATGTTTCTTCCATTTGACAGAGAACTCTTCTGGTCATGGAAGAGGCCGGATCAGCAGTTTGCTGCATAAGATGGAGTTTCCCGATGGAGAGATGATGGAAGTTCTCATCTAACGGCCACCCACTTTGTACCTGAAATCTGACAAACAAGAGAGAAAAGAAAGATCAAGATGGTGGCAGATCGGAAACCAGGAAAGGCATTGTCAAAGATTCCCGATTATAAGAATACTCTTTATAATGTTACAGAGAACAGGAAGCCTGCATGACTGCGGAGAGAAGAGAATGCTGTGGATTCTGTTACATACAGTGGAAGAGGAGATGTGTGTGGGTTTGGAGACAAAGTTCAGAAGAAATAGGAAATGGAGTTTAACGTTGTAGGTGGGATGCTCTGGCTTTAAGCTGATAAACCCGAACCTGGATGTTCCTTGGAATACCACATTTTCCTTGCTTCTTTGCATGTTTAATTTAAGAAGAACCTGCTAGAAATACCTAGAGCTCATCTTGGCGTAATTCAGCGTCCCTGTGCCATTGTGGGATATTTTCTAAGTGAGTGGGGTGGGGGTAAGAAGCCTCCAGGGATGGAGATCATCATCTCATTGCCTGCTTGGTTTTCAGGTGGTTACAAGGCTTCTTAGATTTTCTGGACTAAACAGTATTTTTTAAACAGAATAGCATTATGGTCTTGATCTTCTTCCATCCTAACTTCTCTCAGTTTATCTCTGTCTCCACTTTGTTCTTTTTAATTTTACTTTTTATTATGCGCTTTTTTTTTTTTTTTTGGTCTGCGTATATGTCCCTTAGGCTTGGACCTCGAGGACATATCTGAACTGGTCACCCTTTCGTTCCTGATACATCTGATCGTGGCCAGTAGGACAAAGCTGCACACCGGCTTCCCGCCACTGCCTCCTCGGTGCCAGGCTGGGCTGCTCCCGGCCTCCTCCTGTGAACCGAGGCGGGTGGGCGAGGAGAAGACTCACTGTGACACCTTGCATCAAGATCATGGCTCTGGCTTTCTTCTTCTATGCGAGCTGTCTTGCAAGGGGATATTCTTTCTACCCCATTGCATTTTTTTCAAGATAGCACTGCAGGAAATGGATGGTCGTTTGCCAGCAGTTGCTTTGGTGGCCTTCAGATCTCTTCAGGTTCCCCGCCCACATTCCTGCATGAGGGGCTGGGTAGCGGCCTCACACCCCTTCCCTCGATCCGTTGTCTGCTTGGTGTGGAGGAGCACACAGGCTTCCCTGCTCACGGGCTTTGAAAGCAGTCAGACCAGTAGATACACAGCATGCTTAGGGTTTTCCAGGTTATAGATGTGAGACAGAAGTGCCACAGAAATAAGCCAGGACCGTTAAGAGTGTGGGTCTCTTGTACCTTTGCTGTGATGTTTTGCATGCGACTTCAGAGGCCTTGGCTAGGAGATGCTGGTTCAGAGAAGAGAACTGAAATAGGTAATGGGGTACTGAATTTTCTCTCTCAATGTGTTTTTCCAAGATCCTTTTCTTGTGCCTTCTTAGAAGAAAGAAAGGAAGCAAACAAGGAAGGGCAAGTCCGAAGTCTGAGACTTTAACCTCTTAAAATACTGAAGGCAACACTAGTTAGGGCACTTTGCGTGGATAGTCTGTTTTAGGACTGGTCTTTGGAGTGTAACCTGAGTGAAGTTATGGTTGCCTCAAAGTGAGGGTGTAGAAGGAAGACAGATTGAGGCCAGAGGAGAGGAGAGGAAGCAATGGCCGTGGCCAGCCAGCCTGGGCCCGATGGGGGATCGGGGTTGACCGCCTCAAGCTCTGCGCTGAGGTGCGTTCGGAGCTGTGTGCTGCCTGCTCTCGAGCTCTTAGGGTCTCACATCCAGCAGCAGATGACTGCGCACACCTGAGCACTGGGCTTGCTGCAGGCTTGGGGTGGGGACAGCACAAGCGGCCTCACCCGCAGGACACAGGGTTAGTATGGAGTGGATGGGGATGAGGTGGAGGGGCCCTGTCCACTCCCCCACCACTCTTCATGAGGCGTGTGGTTCAAACTCTTTCCAAGTAATGTTGAGGACAAACTAGAAAGCATCTATGGATGCCCCTCTCATGTGTCCAACAGGTATGAGCGGAACTGCGGCCCAGTTTCACCAGAACCCTCTTGCTGGTCCTACTAAATTATCAAGCGTTTTGGTTGTCAGAAGTTCGATGGGGACATGAACATTTTTCAGGGGTTCTAACTACAATAGTGCTGTGGGCTTTTGTCCATCTTTTTTTTTTTTAACCTTAACCTAGTAAGATTTCTTCTTGAGAAAAGGCATCTATAGCTTCTTTTTTGGGACACACCTCCTGTTAAGCTAAGGGCTTCAGTCATTTTGTCCTCATACTTTTTTTAATCTGTAAGAAGTGAGAATACAGTTGCTGAGCATCTGCTCTGAGCTCTGGAAGTATGCAGCATCTTGCCTCCTTGTGCTCTGGGAAGAGCACATTTCGTGGAATGTGGTGCATAGTTCTCTGGGAGCCGGGGAGCAGGTACAAGTTTATTCTCCTGACTTGACTGAGCAGGTGCAGACGCAGCTCAAAAGGTTAAATCCTTTCTCAGCTCTTCACAGGCAGGAGAAGCTGCGTTTTAAAGCAAAGGCCTAGAAGGGAAGCTGTAACTATGGAGATAACAGCCTCAAGTAAGGCATGTAATACCATGCGCGCCTGGGCTGTGTCCTACATGTGTGATGTGTATGTGTCACACGCACACACGGCTGCCACACCTTCCAGAGCCCAAGAAATAAGACTAGACACAGAACTTCTAGAATTGCCCATCAATACTAGGCGTGAATGTTTCTCTTTGTGTTCTATTATAAGCACAACCACAGACTATATCAAAAATTATATCCAAAGTCTTGGTCATCTTGATTTTCTCAAGGGACATCTGATCATAGAACTTGAGAGTACTGTGTCAGGGTGAAGGACAAAAGCTTTGGCTTTGAGTAAAGGTATGTCAAAACAATTCTGCTTTAACCTCGAGTGGGCTTTCTGGCGAGTTCAGTGTCTGCATGCTGCCAGCATCACACCGAGATATGAGAAGTGGTTGGATCAGGAGTCTTGACAGTCACTTTACTTCATTGATGATTCTGTAGACAACAAACATGACTGTCTGTAGGTCCATAAAACTAAGTTGCCAGGAAAACCACATCATTTGCCAAAAACCTTACAGCATTTGCAGAACGTATTCTGAGCATTTTCTTCTCACTATTCTTTCTGCTTCCGAGAAGCTGATGGCCAAAGGGTATAGAAGTCAGCATGCCCACCCATGCCTGGAGCTCATGGTGGCCTTGCTCCTAAGCTTTGGCTGGCAGGGGAGGAAGTGGTGGAGATTCCCTATTTAAGAACCGAGAATGTAGCTGGGCGCCGGTGGCTCACGCCTGTAATCCTAGCTACTCAGGAGGCTGAGATCTGAGGATCACGGTTCAAAGCCAGCCAGTCTCACAGGAAAGTCTGTGAGACTCTTACTTCCAATAAGCCATTAGAAAACCAGAAGTGGTGCTGTGGCTCAAGCGGTAGAGAGCTGGCCTTGAGCTGAAGAGCACAGGGACAGCGTCCAGACCCAGAGTTCAAGCCCCATGACTGACAAAAAAAAAAAGGAACTGAGAAGGTTACCCTTTAGAACTCATAGGAATTTGACTCTGCAATGCGACAGGGGCAGAGATCTAGATAGTTGCTCCAAATAGATTCTGAGCTTGGAACAGAGAATCTAGTAGTTCTACTGCCAGTGGAAGAAACTCCAAATGTCCCTCGTGGAGAAGTGGCTGGGTACCTTTATGCCAAGTACTGATGCATGGATAATCTTTCCCTGCTGGCAGCCTTCTGAATCTGAGATTTGCAAGGGAAGATTGAGGTCCTGGGAGACAAAGAGAGGAGAGTAAGAGTTGAGAAGATTGTTGAGGCAGAGAGCTCCCATGTAGACTCTAGAAAGCTGTGCTGAGTAGAGATGCTTTCTCTAAAACCCAGATATTTTGCTTTGCATCTGTACTGCAGTAAGCAGTGTGTGTTTCTGAGGTCTTCCTTACTTCTAAGCGAAGAAATCTGGTGGCCATTGTGAACTGGGGTCTCCTGAGTAGTGAGGGCTTTAAGAAGCCAGAGAACAGCCAGCCGCCAACAGCTTCTCCATACCTGAGGCAGACATGAAAAAGGCTTCTGTGCTTTATAAATGTTGACTTTATTGTTTTGCTGATTTGTGTTTAAGTGATCTCTATTTCATGTAAGTGTTGCTGAAGTATTTGCCTCTGGTCTGTGGCTCCATGGAAGATGAGCAGATAATTAAGAAGTTACCGGAAGTTAGTCAAGCCGGGAGCATGCAGACTTGCCCCCTTCACGAAGCTAATACATTTCTCTTGGAATTAATGGGCAGCTTTTCCTTTTAAGTAGTGAACCTGTTTTTCAGTTAGTAATTGAATTATCTATCAGGATATGTATGGGTGCGAGGTGTGGCTGTAGGGACTTGAGTAGCATTTCTTACTCTAAGGGCTTCATCTTACCCTCTTTGGGGTTATTACTACAGTACTGCCCAAGTAATAAAAACATTTGGAAATTCCTCTATTAGAGTGGCCTTCAGGGTCTGCTTCAGTTTCCCTTCGCAGGGAAAAATCTTCATCCTTTGAGGATAGATTTAAGCTCTGGAAACAATCCTAAATTGCTGAATGTTTGCATGAATAGATACAGATAGCAGTGAAGGTAAGTCACCATTTTTAAGAAGCCTCTTGGTATGAGTATGTTATAGTGGAAGAAGAGTGCTCAGGGGCAACTTCTAGAAGAGTTATCTGGCCTTGTCTCTGGTCTGAATATCCAGTAGGTATTTTGTAAAGCCAGTCGTACTTGAGTGCCTGTTGTCATGTTTGCGGTGGTCATGGAACGTGGCTTCCTTGCAGGATTGAGCACTGCCCTCTGTGTAAGGCAGTGTGTAGCGCAGCGTTTTCTTGTATCAGCTCCTGCTGTTTTGATGCTCAGTATGTTAAATGTGATTTTGCCCAGGATTCTGCTTTTGGATAGATGCCTGTATTTATTACAAGTCAGATTTATCCAGTGTTTGAGGGCGGGGCAGAGGAGGCTCTTGCACATCTGCGTAAAGTTCTGTGAAACAGGGTGAGTGCAAGTGCCTGATTCAGCGGTGGATGGAAGTCTCGGTGCCACGTCCTCTTCGCCTGCTGTGTGTGCCGTCCTGCTCTAGGCATGTATTCTAGCAAGCCCTGCTGATCTAGGCAGGTAACCTCTGGCATCTTTGTGTGGCTGGCCTCCACTGAGAGGTGTACCAGTCTGTACAGAGCTGGGGAGTACAAGAACAGATGTGGATACTGTTGTCAGCCAAAGATTTTCCTTTTCTGTGCTGCTTAAACTTGTGCCTTAATCTTGTAATATAATAAATGGATAAAGTAGCAAAGCGGATCCTCTTCCCTCCTTGATTTTCTCTTGAAGCTCCAATGCTGGGTGCCTCTGGAATGTTCCACCGTGCAGCACAGCAGCAGCTGCACCCGGGCTAGTCTTCCACTCCTGGGTGAGCTTCAGGTGCTGAGCAAGTGTCATGCTGCCGCTGCCCAAGCTCTCTGGGCCTCCTGATGCAGAGAAAGCAGTATGGGCTGTCTCTTCTCAACATAGACCAGCTCTTGAAGGGGATTCTGGATTCAGAGCCTGTTGGTGGATACCAGGATGGCTCTGCTGCAGGGGTTTGCCAGTCAGACTAGAGAACAGGGGAGCTTTAAACTGGCGAGATTTGGGCTAGGGCCTCAGTGACTGAAGCAAAACAGCACAGCATCACACTGAAGGCCCTCAGAGCCGAGACCCTGTCATCCCTGGCTAAGAGGGACTGTGTCTTGCTTTCTAGTGGTCCCTTTTTCCACAGAACCTTTCCTACTTTTCCTGGCCGCCACACGGAAGAGCTCACCAAGGCTGTGAAGTAGGCATCCCTAATCTTCCGGAACTCTTGGATGTGATGTGCATGGTGGTATGATGGGCATCAGAGCCCAGCACTACCTGACCCAGACACCATGAACTTGCATGTGAAAGGTGAGTGGGCCCAGGGAAGACAGTTGGTTTCTTGTCTGTACTGATTTTGGCTGAACATCTTCATGCCCTCAGCATAAAGGGCCAGCATTTGCAGGTTCCCCGCCCCCTCCACTCAGGAATCCTAAGGAAACTGCTGGAGATCACATGGGACCACCCAGGATACTTCTGGGAGACAGCACAGCGTAGCAAGCTGTCAGGCCTCTCTCGCAGGGCTCCACATTCCTGGGAAGGTGCCAGGGCAAGAAACTGCCCCCACCTCCTAAAAGTTATAGCACCACTGGATAAAGATCAGGCGTTTAACACAGCTGCCTGCAGGGGAAGTGAGGAGAGGAAAAAAAACCACACATAAAGGCATTTTTCTTTGAAATGAAATTATGCAACATTTTATGAAATGTCTAAGTCACAACAAAAAGGACACGAATTAAGATACTTAAGATTAAAAATATTTATTACAAGCAGATTCATTTTCCCTATATTAAAAACAACACATGACTGGAAACACGCAGAGAATGGAAACTGCTAAAGCAATACTCAAGTAGTCCATCATCAAATGCAGTATCACTAAAGGAAGAGATATTTGGAACTTATAATTAGGGGGCTTATATACCATTTACACAGGGGAGAAGGAGAAAACACTACCAAAAACAGCCAAGCTGATCCATAACATTTTAGTGTTTAAGCACATAAAACTGTACTACTTAATGTATTTCTCCATGAACTTTTTATGAAATTCAGATCGCAGAGTATCATTTACAAATCGTTTGTCTTTCTTCTGATCGTCTACACCTTTTGCACAGTTCTTGAATACAACATCGTCATCCCACCTGAAGGGTAGAAGAAAAATGTGTGTGTCAGGAGACAAGAATACCATGTGCATGATTATTACACAAAAAGATGTTAAAATGCACAATACTTGACCCAAGGAAAACACAAAGTAATCTAGAATACATGTTGCTTTATTATAATGAGTGACAATTCCTAATAGGAACATACAAACTAATTTTGTTACTTATACTCTAGTAAATATTTATTTTTTCCTGTGTTTGTGTTTTGGCCCATCCTGGGGCCTGAGCTCTGGGCCTGAGCACTGTCCCTCACTCAGCTCTTTAGCTCAAAGCTAGTGCTGTATCACTTGAGCCACAGCGCCACTTCTGGCTTTTATGTGGTATTGAGGAATTGAACTCAGAGCCTCATGCATGCAAGGCAAGCACTCTACCACTGAGCCACCTTCCCAGCCCTCTAGTAAATATTTTCAAGAAATTTTTCTCTTAAAGAGTATCTGAATTTCTTTTAATTTTTTTCTTTTAAAGACATCTTGAATTCTAAAGAGAGAGAGTACACAGACCTACAGGCATGCTTGCTGTTTTCAGGTCAGACACAGACAGCATCAGTACCATGAGTACTAATGCACCCCAACTTGCTAGGGTGCAGGGCAGGTGACTGAGGATTTTACCCTCGTCATCATTTTGTAGTTATCCACCACAGTACTGACAAATTACTGTTGTTCTTGTTTTCTGAGATGGGGTGCATGCTGCATTCTTCTGCATCAAACCTCCTACTAAGTACTGGGATCCCTAAGTATATACCACTACACCTGGCTTGACACAGAACTACTAGGGCATAGCAATTAAGGGTCGTATATGACCCCTCATCTATGTTAGAACTCTTGACTGGATTTCACCAAGTATTAAAAGCCACACGTGCATGGGCTACAAAACACAGAACTCCAGAATATTATCTAGAATATAAACCCACACATGAAATACGAAATTGCACATGGGAAAACAGGTAAAGAACAGGAGCATCTTTGGAAAATAGTGTTGGTAAAGTCATCACAGCTGCAGTGCACAAAATGGGAAAAGCTCAGCAGAGCAGTATGACCAGGAAGGAAAAACTATGCAGCCTGGCATTCATACACTGTCACTGACAGGTTCTTCTGTGTACGCTCTCTGGAGCCTCCCCAGCACCAGACTCCTCTGTGCTGCTAAGTCACAGGGCTCGTTTTCCTTGCCCTGGCAGCAGTCTGGCCAGGATGGTCCTGCCTGGCTTTCAGATGCCAACTGCTGGGTATCCTTTCCCAACTACCCAGTTTTTAAAACTGACAAGGCCCAAGTACATCATCTCCAGTGCCGACTAACTTCAGAGACATGTCAAGTTACCCTCTCAAAAACGTATGTATCACCACCCCAAGGCTATGTTTTACACATGGATAAATGTAGATATAAACACCCCAAGGCTGTCCTATCTTCAATCTGCCTGCCCTGCCCCTCACCCCAATTAGCCTACATTCCTTCCCACTAGAGTTTTCTAAGGGCTCAAGTACAAACCTTGGAGTTTGGTCTTTAATAATTTGTCACTCTGTTAACAAATCCTGGCCTCTGCATCACAAGGGAACAGTTGTTGTTTTTTACTATGAATGAGTTAAGTAGCCACTGAAGGTTTACTCCAAAAACTTGTGACTTGATAATTGGATAGAATTAGGCCAAAGCCAAAGCCTGGAGTGAGGATGAAGAGGGAGCCACTGTGCAAGCAGAAGCAACACAGTGGTGCTGAAATACAACCCATGTAGAGAAGTCAGCAACATCTGCCAATTGCCTTAGACAAATAATGAGCTTCCTCTCCTTCAGCATCCTCTATAAGCGTTCATTTTACTCTTCTACACAATTCCACGTCTCAAGTACTTACACAATATTTACTATTCACATTCTCTTCTCAGCCCAGCCCTCCACAAACCAAGTACAGAGAAGTGCTAACATACAAGCCATCTTTACGTCAGCTCCAAGGCTGGCCTCCCCTGGCATTTAGAAACCTGTGTTCAGGTACCCTGTCAGTCCCTGTGCCTCTAGTGAATAATCAATGTGGTTGATACCCAACATTTACTCCCCTTTTTGCAGTTTGGACTTTGGTCCGTACTTGGCAGAAGCTGCCTAAAAGGACCAGTCTCAAAGGAAACTTTAGCACTGGGTCTCTAACGAGTGCCCTGAGCAGCAACACCACACACATTCAGATACATTTGCTTTGTTCTGTGTGACCTCTTGTGGGAAGAGACAGCATAAGAATCCAGCCACTGTGCTGTAGCTCAAGTGGTAGAGCACTCGCCTTGAGCTGAAAAGCTGAGGGACAGCGCCCAGGCCCAGAGTTCAAGCCCCACGACTGACGAAATAAATAAATAAAAATAAAATAAAATAAAAAAGAATCCAGCCTCTGCTTGTATCTCTCCTCCTTGTAAACAGGCATGTGTCTTGACTATGCTAGCCATAAAGACAGCCCTGTGGCAAGTCCCTCAAATCAACTCTTCTGCTGGATGCCTGAATGTGGAAGGTGGTCTCTGGGACTTAGACAAACTTTATGGTGTCATGGGGTCAGTTCACTACTGTCTTAGACCATTACGGAGTACACAGCTGGTTATTACAAGTATCTACTGAAAGTGAATTTATCTTCCTTCTTCTGACAAAAAGGGTATCAGTGAGGGTGAGGTTTTAAGATGCTTTACGTAATGCACCTTGCTGTACAACTCCCAACCATTACATATAAATCTAACCCCTTACTGCTAGTACCTTCTTTTAACTTTGAAGTTGGCCTGAGGCTGAGATGGGCCCGTGAGATTAAGAAGAGGGTTTCCACTCAGAATGTTCTCCATGCGAATCCTCTCCTCTTCTGCTTTTTGCTCTTGTTCCTGTCAAAGACAGCAGACTCAAGCTTGCTATGTTAACTGCATGCCCATTTTCATCAACAACACAAAAGGTCAGGATTGTATGAGAAAAGTTAAGTGTCAAGATAGGTTTCTCTCTCCTCCTCTCTCTTTTCTTTCTTGATTTCATTCCCTCATTTTGTTTCTTCCGGATTTTTAAGATACACAACAAAAGTCTCACCAAAATAATTTGGCCTAAAATTATTATAAGCCAAACTACCATGCAAACAACTGTATTCCATCAACATGCAACACCCATTCCATTATAATGTTACTTCTTCACTAGGTAAAAATTATTTTTCTTCACTTTTTTTTTAGAGACAGTCTTTCTAGGGAGTCTGAGCTGACCTCAACTCTTGATCCTCCTGGCTCAGCCTTCAAGGCCATGTGATTGTAGGTGTGCAGCACCACACTTGGCCTTGTTCTACTTTTATTTTGGCACTAGTTTCTTAATTTTTAGACCTATTGATAACATTATCTTACACTAAATATAAATCCCACTTTTTTGTGTTTGAAGGGTGACAAATTAGTGACAACAGATCAAAGAGAAAGAAACTGCATGGAACTGATTTGGAAATGAACCAGATCTTCCATATAAGTTCCTATCCTTTAATGCACAGGTATCAACACTGATTTCATTCTTATCTGGAGGTGAGAAGGTCCAACGTCACTCAAGATGAACAGCTTTCTAAAAACTTGTTTTCTTAAAAATTATACTGATATTTAAAAGCGTTAAGACATTTCTCTCCACGTTGTCAGAAAAGCAGTAGCTCAAGGACACAATGTACACAATATACTACTAATAATGGGTGAAACACAGGTCCTGGCCTTCCATTGTTATTTTAGTTACTTGACTGCCACAAAAAAGGAACCATCTCTTTCACAGTCAAATGCCAGGTACACTAGTGGCTGAACACCCAAATAGTCCCACTTTATCAGTTTGAGAATGAAATTCTGCCTCATCAAAGCTATACCTAGTCATTTATATATCATCGATGGCTGTTTTTGTAGTGTAATAGTTGAATAGTTCCAACAGGCTGTAAGATCCCAGCTTAACATATTTACTATGTAGCCCTTTCTTCACACATTAACTTGACACAGGCTACTCAGTTTGGAAATGTTCCTTTGGGACACCATTGAAAAAAAGCTGATAACAAAGGAAAAACAGAGATGAAAGAAATTAAACTGTCAGACAACTCCAAGAAATACCAATAATGCATGCTTCCTTGTTCAGCGAGATCAGACAAAGTATCCAGAGAATGTAAACTTCTTACCTCTGAATATATAGGCAAACTAAAAGAATCTGGAACAACTGCCTGCTACTGTTTTGGCAGGCTTTGAACTGTGATCCTCAGATCTTGACCTCCTGAGTAGTTAGGATTACAGGTATAGCCGGACGCAGGTGGCTCACGCCTGTCATCCTAGTTACTCAGGAGGCTGAGATATGAGGATCTCGGATCAAAGCCAGCCCGGGCAGGAAAGACCGTGAGACTCCTATCTCCAATAAACCACTAAAAACCGGAAGTGGTGCTGTGGCTCAAGTGGTAGAGCGCTCGCCTTGAGCTGAAGAGCTGAGGAACAGCGCCCAAGCCCAGAGTTCAAGCCCCATGACTGACCAAAAAAAAAAAAAAAAGATTATAGGTATGAGCCACCAGCACCTAGCCTTTTAAATCTGATTATTTTTATGACAGCTTAAACTTCTTAGTTTTGTTGGAAATTCTTTCTTAACTTACTCCTACTCAGTGTTAGAAGCTTTGAAGATAAGTAAGATACAGTAATAGTCTAAAAGCTCCTCACATCTCTTGCTTTTTCACTGAAGGCTGAAGCTCCCACTTGAGCCACAATTCCACTTCTAGCTTCTGGTGGTTCAATGAAGGTAAGCAAGCGTCTCTCTCAACTTCCTTGCCCAAGATAGCTTCGAGACAAAGTCCTCAAAACTCCTGCGTAGCTTGGATTATAATATGACCAACTCTTAATCTTGAGTTAGACCTCTCCCCCACACCCCACTATGCAATTACAATGTCTAAGGATATTCAGAAGTTATCAAATTTATTGACAAAATGTCTCATTTAGGCAAGAGATGTGTATAACTAATGTAAACTAAAACAAAAACAAAAAAATATTTTCAGTTTCAAGGACTGGGACGTATTAATAAACAAACCAGACAATCTCTGCAGAGCTTATATTCTAATGGAGGAAGACAAATTAAAATAAATTATAAGCTATGGTTGAAGATTAAAAAACATTTTGCTGTAGAATGTTTAAGATGGGAAGACACTTTGACTTTACCTTTCTGGCCTGCTCCTCAGCTCTTTCTTTTTTAATCTTTTCCAGTTCAGCTAGAAGTGCTGCAGTATCATCATCATCACTCTCCTCTTCAAAATCTTCATCTTCCTCCTAAAACAAAAACAGTGACAATTCAGGAGATTGGAGAGAAGATATACACTTAATTTTCTTCCCATAAAAATGAACTTACCAAATTAAATATAATATAATCACCAACCAACCAATCAAAATCAATAAAATCCAACAAAAGCTTATGAATTCTTAATATGCCAATCTCTGGTATCAGAGTATGTGCAAGTTTACATGGCCTAAAGATTTTTCTATAACAGTATTCAAACCAGAAAAGGACTATTTCATAATGAAACATATTGTCTATACCGTATACATCATCAAAATTTTTTTTTTGGGGGGGTCCGGTCGTGGGGCCTGAACTCTGGGCCTCACTGTCCCTCAGCTCTTCAGCTCAAGGCTAGTGCTCTACCACTTGAGCCACAGCTCCACTTCCGGCTTTTTTCTTTTTTCTTACGTGGTGCTGAGGAATGGAACCCAGGGCCTCATGCATGCAAGGCAAGCACTCTACCACTGAACCACCTTCCCAGCTCCTCATCAAATAATTTTATGCAATTCAAAGCAATTTTCATTTAGTAATTAAGTATAATCAAACATTCAAAATAGGCAATAAATTCCAAAACAAAATAATTTCAAACCAAGAGGCCAGGCAGGTGCAGTGGCTTTCAGATGCTGGTGGCTCACACCTAGAAGCCTAGCTACTCAGAAGGCTAAAGTTTCCCAGATCTATCTTCAATTAACTAAAAAACAAAACAAGAAACCTGGACTAACAGCATAGCTCAAATATTGGAGTGCTAACCATGAGCAAAAAAGCTAAGCATTTGCACAAGGCTGAGTTCAAACCCCAGTTACAAGCATTTTTTTTTCAAATACTTAAATTTCACGTAAAATTAAGCATCTTATTTTAAGGACTATATCTGTAAAGTCCAGAACTATTGACATACATGCATAAATGCCATCCACGTAAGCCACTCAGATTTTGTTAAATAGAAAAATGCAAATTTATGACTGTTGGGGCCCACTGAATTTTAATGTTAACTGCTGTGCTAATTTCTAACTAAAGGGTGGTGTTATCACTGAAGTCACACCTCTACTACTACAGTGCTAATGGTTAACCTGCTAGGTTACCCTCCTCTCTAGGAACAGAAGGAACCATTATACACACCATTTGTCTCTAGGGAACATCATTCCTAATGAGGAAGAGCCTGGGGCAGAGGGTCAGTTTGAGAGTACCTTTTTTTTTTTGGGGTCCCTTCATGGGGCCTGGGCGTTGTCCCTCAGCTCTTCAGCTCAAGGCTAGCGCTCTACCACTTGAGCCACAGTGCCACTTCCGACTTTTTTCTTTTTGCTTATGTGGTGCTGAGGAATTGAACCCAGGGCTTCATGCATGCAAAGCAAGCGCTCTACCACTGAGCCACCTTCCCAGCCCTGAGAGTACCTTGTAGTAGTAGCAGTCTAACCTGTCGGAGTCTTTGGGAACTAAGTATGTGCTCTAACAAATCGTTCTCCTATTTGATTCTATAGAGATTACACTTAAGTCTTATATTCTTTTTTTTTTTTGGGTCCGGTCGTGGGGCCTGAACTCTGGGCCTGGGCGCTGTCCCTCAGCTCTTCAGCTCAAGACTAGTGCTCTACCACTTGAGCCACAGCTCCACTTCCGGCTTTTTTCTTTTTGCTTATGTGGTGCTGAGGAATCAAACCCAGGGCCTCGAGCATGCAAGGCAAACGCTCTACCACTGAGCCACTTTCCCAGCCCTTAAGTCTTATATTCTTTCAATAGAACACTTTGTCTTAAAATCAAATGAGAGTTCAAGCCCCACGAAAAAAACCACTATTAAAATCAAATGATGTCAATGATACATCAGAATAGCATTAAATAAATATAGATCACCGCTTAATGCTAACAGTGTAAGAAAGCACCCCAGAAAAGCATGATGAATATGTTGCTCTAGAGGAATGAAAACAGAAAACGGGAACATACATCTGTTAGAGGGTCGTCCGCATCAAGGTTTGCAGCAGGAATCTGGTCTAACCGAGGCTTCTTTGACACCGAAGTTGTATGTTCTGGGAAAAACCAACATTATATAGCTTACTGATACAAGTGCTGCATTTCCTTTTTTCTCCGTTTTTATTGAGACAACATCTTGCTATGTGGCCCCTCAAATACTGGATCTTCCTGTCTCAAACTCCACGTGCTAGGGGGACAGGCATAGACCTCTGTGTGTCCAAATACAGGAAGCTAGAGGCACAAACAGCCCGTATTAAAAGTATTCCAATGGCAGGATCATACACCACATCCACAGTGACAGGAACATAAGCCTCTAGTAAATGCTTGTGGTTAAACAGTAAATTACAAAAGCATTACTACTACAACTGAGCCTCTCTGGTAGTTCAGGGAATAATTTTTTTTTCTTTTTTTTTTTGGGGGGGGGGGCTGGTCGTGGGGCTTGAACTCTGGGCCTGGGCGCTGTCTCTCAGCTCTTCAGCTCAAGGCTAGCGCTCTACCACTTGAGCCACAGCGCCACTTCTGGCTTTTTTTCTTTTTGTATATGTGGTGCTGAGGAATCGAACCCAGGGCCTTGAGCATGCAAGGCAAGCGCTCTACCACTGAGCCACCTTCCCAGCCCCATCAGGGAATAATTTTCATAGGCTGGACATGTAACAAAAATACAACTGACACTTCCAGATGCTCTCCAACAGTCAGCTGCAAAATTGACTCGGTAGACAGAAGAAACATTTTGTCTTGAGTTGAAATAGTTACTACATATTCTAATACAGAAATTTTACCATCACCAGTTTTTAAGAGAAAAAGTATGACAGCATACAAAAATGTTAACCCTTCCAATTAGCATGAAGAGTAATACAAGAAGTGAATTTAACCAAAGTGCAAATGATTACTACATGAAAGAAAACCTACATGATGTTATGAGACAAACATTTTGGACAGGTGGTACCTCGGTTTGGACGATCCCTATTTTTTTCTCTTGCAGCAGCTCGCTCTCTCTCTTCCAACTCTCTCCTGAAGTCACGGTTGCGAACCTCTTCAGGGGCATCCTGAGTAGTTTGTCTAACACAGAAAACAAACCAGGACAGAAGTATAACCTACACAGAAAAAAACCACATGGCTATAGCAAAAGACAATTTACAAATGCAACTATCTCCTCCAGTATAAAACAAGAGGACAAAACAATAACCTAATCTGAGTGTTGTTAACAGGCACTGTGATGTTTCGAGTATTTCAGAAAGTCCAAACTGAATCACATATTTGTTCCATGGGATGACTGCAGACTGCTTAACATGCCTTTCGTCTTTGTTTTTGTATCAAGTCAAGGGCTTGTGAACTAGTGCTGAGAATGTGTAGTCTCTCTGGAATACTACTATTCCACCTATGTACTGAAATTCCTGGTTAACGGAAATTCTGGGAGCACTTTAAAATTACAGAGCAAAATTTCACCACTAAAACTTCTCTTGTACTCCATTCCTATAAAAAGATGATCATGAGAACATTCTAGCATTCTACTGCTATGAAAACAACTAAGAGATGGAACTCAAACTTATCACACATCACGAGCATTCTACGTAACAGGTTGGGTCTTGTTCAGTGAACAAGATGAGATGCATCTTCTCTACCTGTACTTGATCTTTGTGTGAGAAGGAAGGTCTCGGCTTGAATACTGCTTCGAAAGCTGGCTCAGGTCACCTTCTCCTTTTCCTCTTCCACCCCGCGCCGGTTCAAAGGTGGGCCTGGCGGCGGTAGTCATCTTTTCTGCTCTGAGGAGGAACAGTTCCTGAGTTACTCACTGCCGTCTACCCTTCCGGACGGCTTTTCACGGCTCACGGCCCCCAGAGCGGCCTGGTTCTCAGGAACAGGCCGTGCGGGG